GTAGTTGCTTTTGGGTAATTGATTCATAAATGGATCATTTGCTTTTGGATTGGATTTGGGCTATTTATTTATTTAAGTAACTATTTGATCTTTTGTTTAGGTCTAAGATTTTTGTATGATTGAATTTTAAAGTGTAAGTTATTGGGTCAATATTTATTAATGGGAAAAAAAATTTCAAAATTTTGCAGGGGCGAGTCAAAATTTTTGCGGGGGCGAAACTAAAAAATACATTACAAATTAACTAGAAATAGTGGACCAACGGACTCAGAGCTTGCTTTTTCTGTTCGACAAATCCACCAGAGATCAAGATAAAGATCCATGCCAAATTACTTCCAGAATATGTTTCTCCTACATGCAGTGAGTATCATAAGTAACCATCATTAGACGAAGCCATGTAAACATTAGTACCTTTCACCTTTTTCCCCTTCCTCCACCGATTATATACATTAGCTGACTTACTATCCACTCAATTGCCACAGTTTCTGGGTCCACCATACACAAATAATATCTAGCCAGCATTACCCACCACAGTTGCTAAGGCCTTCTTAAAACAACCAGGTTACTACCTAGAATGGTGGTATAGCAAATGTTAATCCTCCGTAGTTTTTTAGCATTATGATCAACTGCCATAACTTTGCACACATCCATTTTAGGAGTTGCTCTCACATCAGTTCAGCTATCATTTTGCCCATTTAAAAAAAAATCCAATTAATATTTTTAATAACCAGCAAGTGCAAAATAGCACAGTTCATTCAGAAAAAGCATGGCCAGTTTACTATAAAAAATAAAATCATGCAATAAGCTATTTATGTTTTACCAGAACCGCCACTGTCCCAAGCAACACCTCCCTCCCAGTTCACTACTAGTATGTTAATTTTTAACCCTTCAGTACAACAAGCCTCAATACTTATTCTTCAGAATTTTGTAATTCTAAAGAGGAAATGCAATGCTAGGCATAAAATTTAAACATTTAAGGTGCATTTGGTTAGCTGTTTTTAGTTTTCTGTTTTGCAAAACACTGAAAACGTATTTGGTTTGGTATTTATTAAAAATGCATTTTTGATAACAAGGTTAAATTTATTAACATTCAGTAAAAATTATGAACACACTCAAAATATGGAAAATAAAAGTTTAAATAAAATTTAATTTAAATCAAACTTTAAAAATTAAAACTTTTAACAAATAAAAATATAAAATTCTATCAAATATAATTTAAAATTAAATAAAAAAAATCAACAAAAAAATTTGATAGTTACAATGACGCTACCATTAGATATGTCCCTGTGCTAAAGTTACATTCTCAAATTAATATAAGAAAAACAATTAATTGGTCCCACGTGTAACTTTCCTTAAGAAATTCTTGGTTTCTTGAGAAATTATGTCCATATATACAATATATAATCATAATAAATTTGAGGTTTGGCAGGAAATCAAAATAAGTAGGTGCAATAAAGTCCCCCATCACTATAAAAGTATAAATAGGACTTACCGGTAATTTTTCTTTACAAATATCATCGCACAGATGAATTGGCAGATTAGCATATCCCATCCAAAAATAAGAAAGGGAAATAACATAGTTCTGGAGTGTCACGCGTTATCATTTTTTATTCTTCCATTTCATGCTCAATTCGTATCTATTTATTATGTTTTCGCCTTTCGGCTGTCTCTAACAGAGTGCTAATTGATCGCTGCTAGTTGCGACTTGCTTTCTGCTCTTTGTTTCCTATCACTAGGTAGGTGCATCAGATTATAGTGCTAGATGATTCTATTAGTTTGATACTGGTACCCTTCGGGAACAAAGAATTAGAGTCAACCGGGAGCAATCAATCACCCCAGGTGTAAGGTCATCTAGTTCAAAAGTATGACCTTGGTCCATCGCTCCACTCATTTTTTGAACAACTGATCATATCCCATCGACTGGCTCACAAACCTTTTTCAGAAAAGCCGAAAGGTTATTTTCAATAAGATGGAATGATACATACACACAAGCTAAAATATCTTCATTTGAGCTTCGGTGAACATACCAAATTAATAAATCACTAAATGTTCAAAACAGAAATTTTGAACTGACCGTTGAAAAAGAAGTTGAATTCAGTGAGTCCACACCATCCATAGACGCACACATCGTAACATTCCTATACAAAAATGTCAAACAAGTTACGTGAAGACTTCAGAATAAAATATCAATTGAACTCATAAAGCACATAGATAAACAAATCATATTTCATATTTCATCAATCTATCAACTAAATACACCTGTTAAAACTTAATGAATCAACCCTAAAACGAAACGATCAATTAATTAGTGTCCGTAGTATAAAATATTTCACTTACTTCTTCTGGGCTGAATAAAATCTTGGGGTCACTGGAAAGTAGAGAATGGATTTGAAGGTGTGACATTGATTATTTGGAGAAGACATAGAAGACTCTGAAGCTTTTGATCGAAGGACATTGAATGACGAGGTGAAGAGGGAATTCGCCATTGCTGGTCCGGTGGTGGGTGCAATATGTTAGAGAGAGGCTGGGATATTTATAGACAGAAAGAAAGCTAAAATAGGTCGCGTAAAAATGATATATATATATATATTTTTTTGAAGGAGATGAGACTAAAAAAATAAAAATAAAAATTGTTTTATATTTAAAATTATTTTATTGTGAAAAATGTGTAACTAAAAATAAATTTATAAAAAAAATAGAGCTCAACATCAGTACGAAGTATGGGTTAAGTTCACCACTCCTATCCACAACAGTAATTAAGAAATTTCACAAAATTCGTTAAATTAATTTTCATTGCAATTGTTTAATGCAAAATCCTACATAAGTGTCACAACAGACCAACTCGACATATATACTATGCAAGACAATATTGCGTTTTTAATAAAGAAAAACCGTTATATGTCATAAAAGACCTAAAATTCGGAGTAAGAATAAGCTTAAAATAGAAAGTTACACACATAAAACTGTAATTCGTTATCAAAAGGTACGATTTTTTTTAAGGAAACGTGATAATGTTTTGCATGATGTAGAGAATAAAGTGGTTAGCACTTATATTTTTGTATTTAATTTAATTTATAAAATCATTGAATGATTAATATAGTAAGAAAATCATTTTGAAATTTTTTACAAAGGTCAGTAATCATCCGTGAAATTAACTATAGGAAATTAGGAATTATTGAAGCGTGACGTCATCCACTTGGGTGGATGCCACGTCAGGTGTGCATGTCCTTTTCAGTTTATCCATTTATTAATGCAATAATAATTAATAAACAAGAAAGGAAGTTATTGATTAACCAATAAATAAATTAACGTATTAAAAAATTTATAATATTTGTAAGATTGTCGTTGCATAGATTGCATACCTGATACGTACCGCGTAGGCTTTAAGAGAAATAATAGAAAGCAATAATTGGGCAAGTATTTTAATAAATTACAAAACTTGACACCAAAAGGTCCCCAAATTTTTCATATGCGAGCATTTGAGTTCATAACTAATTTTTCATATTGTAGCAGAATAATTTGATTAAAGAGACGCGACTAATACTCTTATTTTCAATCATTCTCAAACTTCAACGCCACCAACTTCGCAAAGAAAATTTTCGGCAGAGGCTTTTTCCTCAGTCAAATATTCTCCATATTTTTTTCAACTTTTAACCGCACATTCTCCAGAGAATTTATTTTTCATTTGAAGAAAGTGCCACAAGAAGACAAAAAATATCTGAATGCCATCAAAATGGAGGATGACAATATAATATGACTAGCCAATCCAATCACACCACTAGGTACCATCAATCAAACAATCAATCAGCACTATAGTAATTGATTCAGATGTGGCATCAACTTGTAGCTTTCGGAGGAGTTTGAACAATATTTCTATTATGATCTCAACTTGCAGAGGATTAATTCTCAATCCTTGTTCCTCCATTAATGTGTCCAAGTAATTCTGAAATCTAAACTCATCCTCACTGCTGCACAAACCTAGCCCCCTCGCTGCCTTCGTCTTCGGAAACATCACATTTTGTCGATATATCAAAGGGTACCCGATCTGCTCCATGTATTACCTGTAAAAGATCCTCCACTGTCCGAAATGTAAAACTTGCATTTGGAAGATGGAAGCCATTATAGTATTCCTTGTCATCAAATTCAATTCGTTTTAGCGTTGTTCTGTAGCTCGTAGTGGCAGTCCTCGGGTGGCCTCTAGCTATACAAACCTAAAGTACAAAGGAAAAATGTACTTCAGTTGAACGATGTAGAGTTACTACTAGTATAATTAAGAAAGATAATTTCAAGAGACATCATTTCAAGAAACTCCTATTTTTAATAACTGAATAGAATTCCAACAATTCATGCATTCAATTTCGTTTCTCACGGTATGAAATTCTAGAGAATGTTATTCTTTCAAAGCAAACTGTTCATATTGGAAAATAAAGAGATATGACAACCAAAGAAATTGTTGGCACATAAAGATTCACTTATCTCATGTGAAATTAAACCCATGTTTGGTAGGGATTCAAATCAGATTTTTAATAGATTTTAATCAAAGTTGATGAAATGTGTGATTGAAAAGTCGTAGATCCTATACAATGTATGGTTAGAATTAATTGTTGACTTTGCCTTAAATTAAAATCTTGATTTTAATCAATACCAAACAGAGGCTAAATACTTTGTCGTACAATCCAAACATGTCACGTAAGATTGAGAACAATCTGAGATAAAAATCTCAGGCTCGCACCACCTGCACAAGAGCTGACATGAGATATTAGTGTTCTTTTAGATAATATTCCTTAAAAACCGCATCAAAGTGCGATTGAAATCGCAATCCCAAGTACACCATCCTTAGATCACCTTCTTAATTTCTAATTTCTAGCAGACGTCCATAGAAATCTCAAATCGCGTCCTTTTGCCAAAAAGCAAATGATATATAGTAATATATCATAATATCAGTGGGATGAACCCAGAGCTTAAGTGAAGATATATTAAAAAGGAAGCAATAGGACAAGTAAAACTAACCGAGTGATTTTGTCCCAGATCTAGAAGCCAAAATTTCCAATCTTTCAACTCCTTTCCAGCAACCTTGACAAATATATTGTTCCAGTTCGTGTGATGAAATTCAACATCATCCAACTTGTAACCTACACCAGTACCCATTGCCTTCACAAAAGCTTCCTTAAGACACCAATATCTGCAGAGGTTGACCACATTTGATAGTAAAATCTTTTCCTTAACTCTATTGCCTCAATTAACAAAAAATAAATAAACAAATTATTTAACAACCATACATTCTTTGCATCTCATGGAATGAGAAAAATATCCTATATTCGCATCTACTAATGACTAACCACAAGTCTGCAATGTGATTTCATTGTTTCTTTATTTATTTTGAGAACACAATGTGATTTCAAAAATAGAATAAATTATCATTAAAAGAACCACGAGTCTAATTGACCTCACAAATAGGCTCTCTCATATTTTCGAATTTATCTAAATAAATATATGCGAACGAAGAATGATGTGGTTCTCACATTATCGATGACTTCACTTTGATGCATTAACAGCATACTTATTATTTTGATCACTATTTTAATGCCGATGTATTAATCAACAAAGAAAAACGTGTCAGTGAGAAGATTTGCTACCACATTTATTGTGCTTGGTTTGGCAATGAAACAATGCAAGGTGTTGGGTTTTTTTATACCCAATAAATTCAGGCGATGATTTAAAACAGTTATCGGATTATTTAGCAACACCATAGACTTGAATCGACTCGGAAACGACATATACTTTTGGATGGCCCAAATTTGGGTTTGGATGGTTATGTTGTTGCCCATTTGTGTGATCAGTTGTGGGAATTATTTGTTAGCCCATTTAGTGGACTTTAGCCCATTTTGAAGGGAGTGTTTGGTCCAAGATTTAGGCCTCGTCTGGTGGGAATTTTCTGGTGGATTTTCAGTTATTTTTCACCCGTTGAAGAGGCACTCAGCCATCATTTTGGACTTGTTGTGAGAGATGTGGGGTCCAGCCATGGAAAATAACGGTAGGAAAAACACAGAAATTTTTGGCAAAATCTGTGCCAGACATCCCCTTAATGACCTAATTGAACCCCATATATTCTCCCATTCCAGCAGGTTTCTAGTATGTGTAGTGTGTGCAAGAGAGTGGAGAAGAGCAGAGCCGAGAGAGAGGCAACCGGGTTATGGATTGGTGGATTTCTAGGTGAGTTCCACCCATTGTTACTCTTCTCCTTCTTCCCTTTGTGGGGTTGTGGATGTCTTGGTGAGTTCCAACCATTGTTATTCTCTTCGCCTTCTTCCCTTTGTGGGCTTGCCATCACCACCACCATATCTCCTTTTGTCGGGATGAAACTTGGAGCAAACAAGGTGTAGAAGTTTTGGGTCGACCCTTGGTAGTGTGGTGCTTGTTTGGTTGTTTTCTGAGCCCGAAAATTGGTTGTTTGGAGCCCAAAATCTTACACAAGGAAATGTCTGAAGTCAAAGATGACCGCACAAACAAACTGCTTATTTGGTTTAAATTATGATTGAAAAGTCAAACTTCAATGTTATCACATATTTTGTAGGACCCAAAACTATTGCCCACTTATCCACCAATCATTTCTATCAATTTATAGTTTCAGCAATTTATAATTTCCTCCAAACATACACAAAGTTACCATCTCTTTGAATAGTATCTATTGTTTTTGTTGATTTATTTATCTTTATATCTTCAACATATATGCACGAAATCATAAATTATCAAAGACCTGAATCATTGAATTTTTTAACAATTGGATAGCAGCAACACTTAAACTCGGGCCTTTTTTTGCTCTAGGATTTTGTTGAATCACCTCATCAAAAGCTTAAGCGGTTAGAGAAGTTACAAATTTATTTATTCATGCTTATATCTTCAACAATTTTAATGTAACACTGAATGTGAAAATTAAATGAATGACTTTATAGATGTTAGTTCAAAGGTTAAAACCTTTAAAGTTGAAATCATTGAGAAGGCAATGACTTGGCACTGATTTTTCCAAAGACAGATATCCTCTGATTCCTGGTGTAAACTTACAATCTTCGAAATGAATCACGAATAGCATTCCACTCTGGACTGAATTTGAAAACTTCTGTACTCTTGCAAAAATAATAAGAAACAGGAAATACGAATTCTACTGTGATCATTCGGGGAGTTGGTTACCTATTCAATGTTTTAGTCTCTCTTAACACTTGCAATAAATTGACTAATCTAAAAGCTCACAAATCAACGATTAGTAATTAGGCAGATGGAGCAAAATTACAAATTAGTAGTGCTAAAAGAAAATAAGGTGTCAAGGTATATGACATAACAAAAAATAAAGTACCCTCAACATATTTTGGAGCCATATAAAATTGACACACCTGTAAAAGATATGCAGCATTTCATCAGAAGAGCCAGCATGCATAATGTGATACCATTCTGAACTGGAGAAGTATGAAGAGAAGTTCTGAATGAACTCATGAGCTGTTTCATTCTTAGGAACTGAATGAGAAACAATATCCAACCCCACAAGGCATATAGGTTCAGATGCTATTGCAACAAAATCACCATGATGTGATGCATTGAAGTTAAAATTTGGAAATGCTAACTTCATGTCATCACATACCTATATTAGGATGGCATACAAGATATTACAAATATAATCACACAGAGAATAAGCAAAATACATGCTTAGAAAATGAAATTTCTCGATGGAAATAACATGAATCCAGATTCCCCTTCACTTAAAGATCAAGTATTATGATGGGGAATTATATCTTGAGAAATAATATTAAGAATAGCTTATCTTTTTGATTTTTGTTCATAGAGAACATGATAAATCAAGAAAAAGAGACAAACAAAACTCTTTATACTGATTATACAGTTACTAAACAGGCAAGTGCATTCCTATCAATCTTTATCTTCCTCCTTAAGCCTTATCATGTTATTTCACCTAAGTGGTAAATCAATGATCATCAAATGAGTTCAAACCTTCTTAATCATTTTTTTTTCTGGATGAGTTGAGCTCTTCACAAAACGGGTGGTACGGGAAATTGTTCGCTTCTTAATTTTTCTATTATACACGTCGCTTTTAAA